GGGCAGGTGGAAACGTGCAGTAGACTCCGTTGGCATATGTCGCTTGCTTTGCGAAATGGTCCCAACGATCCATGAATGTGGGCCGTATGCTATGTAAACGGATGACCCCACTTGCATCCGCCTCAGATCACTGAGCGGGTTGAGAAATCAATTGCCGAAATGCGTTTGGCATGCACGCAAGCTGCATCTGTGAGGTGCACACATAAGTCAAAAATCGGGTCCAATATGCAGAGCATGGTAGGTTCGCAGAAGGGCTCATTTCTTTCCCAGAGCTTTCGGAGCCCTAACTCCAATGAAGCCTGTGCAGGAATGAGATGAGTGTTCCACGCTTGGGGCTCCCGGCACGCCGCCAAGATGTCTAGGCTGAGTGCTTGATATGGATAAAAGCAGGACAGGGGGTAGAGCTTAGGGTTCAGGATTTTAGGGCGTAGGGGCTCAGAGCTGAGGAGAGACGAATATTGGCACCTTTCCTGCGGTTCCCACAATCAAGACTTACATTTTATATGCAGCCAGTTTTAGACGTGGTTATTCTAGTTATGACCCAAGTCGTAACTTCTCATAAACCTTGAGTCAAGCCCGGATGTGGCTGTTGCATGGCATGCTAAGCCGAGGCAGATGCTGGAAGATTTTCCGGGAATGCCAAGTCCTCAAACTTGCAATCGCGGTTTAGGGTTTAGGGTGTACAGTTTTTGGGTTTACAGTTTAGCGTCTTCAGAATAAGAGCCTGAGAAATTGTGGGGTAAACCCAAAACCCTATACCCTTGATGTTGCGTGTCTTGAGACCGAGGCAGAGCGTAGATAGGATTGCCCTCGTTATCTCCGTGCTTTCTGCCTCACCCTACTGTTGATACCACAAGTCCTGCAAGACCCTACTATACCATAGTACTATAATTCCCCAGGTTTAAGGTACTCAGGGCCATGGCAGGATGTTTAGTATCCACCGTAGGGTTTAGGGCTTAGCAGCCGAGCAGCGGTCCATCATTTTTCGAAGCGCCTTTGGCAACACCCTAACCTCCAAACCCTGAATCATGAGCCCTAAACCCTAAACCTGAACCATGAGCCGCCCTAAACCCCGTATCCTAAGGCCTGAAAAGCCTGAAGCGTACATCATAGGCCCTGTATCCTATATCCTCAAAAAACTCAGAACCTGTAATGTAGAAGCCTACATATTTACCAATGTTATATTCCCCCTATAACCCTCGTACAGCTACAGTGTCACATATACCAAAACCCTACTTCCCCACGGGGATGGCCAGTTTGAAGCGACAATGCAACAGCTTGACGGCATTATCAGGGGTTATATAGGAATTATATAGGGCTTTTATGGTGGTAATGGAAAAGAAAATGGAAACTACTACAATTTAGTATTGGGGTGATATTTGGGTTAAGGGTTTAGGCAATAAGCTTTACGTATCCACCCTTCCTGATTTCTTCTCTGCGTGGAGCCCAAAGACTTTTGATTGATGTATGTGTAGAATTGCTTACTTCCTTTCCACCCTCGACCTCTGACTTCGGTCGGCATTACCCCAAAACCCAATTCCATTTGAATAAATTTGAAGGGGAGTTTCCCACAGATAGGGGTACCCCAATATAGACCCCAATAATTTAAAAAAGCGTTTTATGCAGACCCCCGAAAGGATCCATTCAGATAGGCTCCCTAAACCCTTAAACCCTAAACCCTTAAACCCCTAAACCCCTAACCCTAACCCCGCGAAGGTCAGGCTTGCTCGTCTCGATTGGCGCGGGGCTTACCAGATTTACGGATTCTCAAGGGATGCGTGGGGGAGTGGGTCCCCATAGGAAATGGAAAAGAACAGAGCATAGGTTAGGGATTAGGGTTTGGGGTCGCGTCCTATAGAATTCCTCAAACAAGATCAATCCCGGAGACTGCTCAACGTGGCTACAAGTCTGCAACTGCTGAATCCTCCACAGGCCCGGTAATCCATGTGGCAGTTGCTCAACAAGTTTCCCAAGTTCTATTATGCATCCTCAATGTCTTGAAACGAGCCCCTCCTTTGAATCTGCTCATGCTTAGTTGGGAGTGGATAGTTGACCCCAACTGTAGTCCCTCCAATGCAACCCCGGACAGTCCCTATAACCCTTTCCCTATTCCCAACAAAGCTCAAAAGGAATGCACCTTGGGTCCCTAGGGGCCCTTGCTTTCAGAACCAAAAACCTTACACCCTTAGCCCTGTACATGTGGGTACATTCTATGTATCAAGATAAGTGCACATACGTATGTGTACGTCCTACCTACCTACATACATACACATCTCTCTGTCGATCTATCCATCTATCCATCTCTCTGTCTATCCTGCCATCCTGACCTATGGCTACCGAAGAGCAAGCCAGGATGGAGTGGGAGCGACTTCCCACGGAAGCACGGCTGGCCGCGCTCACAAAGCCAGAGCCGCGCCTGATAAAAAGCTTCAAACCCGCATTATCTAGAGATATATGTGTGTATGTATATATAATACGTGTATATACATATATATGTATATATTACATGTATGTATGTATGTATGCATGCATGCATGCATGCATGCATGTCTGTCTGTCTGTCTGTCTGTATGTATGTATGTGCTTTTGATTTGATAGGGAGTTTCTAGGGGTATACTGGGGTAGAATTGAGAATGGAACGGGGAAGAAAAAATCAAAGTGACATCGAGACTTGGTTTAATTTGGGAGTTTACAGTTGTAGATAGGAGAAACCTAGTCACAGCCACGCGATATCCTATCTCGTAGAGCTACCATTGGAGATTAAATTCCTGCTAAGCCTTAAACCCTAAACCCCTGACCTGCCCAGACAAATCTGAAGAGCTAATGCTTTTTCATCCCCATCTTTCATCATGAACTTTGTTGGCGGTTTAGGGTTTAGGGGAGGATCGAAAAGAGAAGAAGCAAGACAATGAAGTGGAAACTGGGATTGTATAGAGGTTTGCAGGGGATAGTACCTAATCCCCTCGCCCTCATAATACATCTCCCCAGCCCCTTCCAGAGTTTACATGGGGTATAAAAGGAACGGATGAGCAGATGGAGACCATCATATTCTGTAGGGGTAAGGGTTTAGGGTCTAGGGATGGAGACCATCATCTTCTTTAGGGGTAAGGGTCCTAATAAGCAGTGTTGCCAATACGGGATCATTGTATAGCATGATTATCTGCAAGCGAAGATGTCATTCTTAGGATGGCGGGGGCGGGGCATCGTTAGCCGGAGGTGATCGACGAGGGTACTTCTTCAGCCCCATCCCAAAAATCAACATTTTACAAGCGTGATGCTTTTGGAGTACCAACTGTGGTGGTTTGGATTACGAAATTGCTCTACTGATGCTTGATGCTTGCTGTATGGTAGCCATCTATCATTGCAAGCGCTGGTGTTGCAATCCCAGCCTTCCAACATCTCAGCTCGGCAAAGTCTAAATGGCCTCCAAGTCTTGGCGTCTAGCACAAGGCACGTCTTGCACATGTCCATATGAGCTATAGTCTAAACTCCTTAAAGGGGGGTTATATGGGGGATTATATAGGGGACTATACTAGGGGCTATTAAGGGGATACTAGGAGTTTAGACTATAGCTCATATTGTACTCTCTGATGTGAGCACCGACTTGGACTTGCGCAGGCTGCGGCGTTTTGGCCGTTCTGGTACTGGCAACATGGCAGCGTGTATCAATGGGGCTTTGGTTGGCCCAAACACCACAATTAGGACCCTATGACTGGGTTGCTGTTTAGGGACTTAATTCCAGTCACTATAGTTAGGAACCCTGGTAATTACTAAATACCCACAGTATGGTACCTTAAAATAAGTTCCGTAACAGCAACCCGGATGAGAGCCATATGCTAGATGTGGGGTCCTTGTTATGGGGTTGGAGTAACCCAGTTTTACTTTGAAATCATGCACAAGTGAGAAGATTGAGGTAATCGTCCTGCCGCACTGCTTGCGCAAGGAGACTTCGGTGATGGCTTTATGGTACAGAATAGGGTTTAGGGCCTGAGGTCTAGAAATTTGGATTCAGGATTTGGTTGAAGAATCAGGGCTGTGGATTCAAGATTCTGGGCTTAGAATCTAGGGAATCTAGGGCATCGGGGTTTAGGGCTGATTTTTTAGGGGTTTATGAATTTAAGGTTCAATGCATGGATGATTGTTTCTCAGAAATATCCCCATATAGTCCCTGAGGGGACTCTTGGAATCTCCTCATCATCCCTCATCATGTATCCATAGGTCTCTCGTGCCCCCCCCCCCTCTTCTGAGAATCCGCCAATTCGGAACTTACACCCAACAAATTCTGTCTTTTTTTCTAGAAAGCAGATTTCCAGAGATTGCAAACCATGCCTTCTTCTTTCTTCTTGTGATTCATTGTCGGCATCATTTGCCCAGTCTCCCTACCAACCAAACAGGGTTCTACCTGAACAGGTGGGAGTTCCTCGAACAAGCACGTGTGCCACTTTTGCCATGGATCAGCCCCGTCATCCCCTTAGTCAGTAGATCCCTAAATTCCTGAGAACCCCTGTTTTGAGAACACGACGCCTCATGGGGCTTTCCCAATTGTTTGGGGTTTTTTTGGGGAGCTGTTTTGGGGAAATGGTGGACACACTTTCTGGACATGCCCACGTGCAGGAGCGGCAGGGGATGTTCGAAGCTCCTTCGCGCCTTTCTCCCCCACGAGCTTTGGAGGCGTGCGCACACACATAATAAGCGGATTTCATTTACCCCAGCACTCCAAACGAGGATCCTATAACTATCATGGAACAATGATGAGGTCCGAATTTCAGGATTGGAGTTGCCAAAATCCTCTTATTAGTAACTACAGGAATGCAAAGCCTCATGCTTGTCTGTGCCAACTGTGTAGGTGCCAAACGTGCAATGTTTGGGATGGCAGTATTCTAGCAGTACGTATTGTGCGTAGTGATCCTAGTGTTGGCATGCCTGTCTAAGACTGCATTGAAGCGCTTGTAAAACAGCGGGCACTCACAGTTGCAGCTGCGCAGGCATCCGCATCAGGCATGAAGGCGAAGCAGGATACCCATGACGGCACAGTAGGCCCACATGTGGCTTATGTGGAACGCGTGGAACACATGGAGACGCGGCACCACGCCTCGCTCAACCACATTGAGGGATCGGAGCGGATTGCGGATCCTTTGCCAAGCACAGAGTCTGATTTCACCAAGAGTTCAACAGCAAGCTCTGTGCCAAAAGGCTCCCATGATCCGGCAGTGGATGTGCCAGGCATCGAGAGCACGACCCATCTCCCTTCATCGCCGATGAAGCAAACGGAAGGAAATGCCCCCCAAGCGGATGCCGACCGGAAGGAATCCCTGCCTGCAGAGACTCCAGGGCAATCTGCTCCAGCTCCCATGACACAAACGGAAAGCAAGCCCCGGTCAAAGGCTGACAGGGAGGAGCCCTTGTCTGAAGAGGCTACGCAACCTGCCACTTCAGCAACCATGAAGAAAACAACCGGAGAGGAGCCCTGGCTTGAGGAGGCCGACTGCACGCCTTTGCATTTGACATGTTGTCCCATCCAAGCTACACTCACATAACACCCTATAACTAGCAACGCTAGTGTTTCCTAATACACCTATTACTAAGCCCGTTTGCAGCTGTAGATGCATGCCAGGAAGCCGCAGCCGACGGGCTTGGGCTGTACCAAACAGGCATGACAGTACTCAAGGATGCTGTGGGCTCCGCCGACGAGGCAAGAATCCATGTTCTATGTTTTCCATGGATGTCCAAGTTCTAACGAATGTCTTGATCGATAAGGCAGCGTATCCTGAAAAGCGATGGCTTCTTAGTTGACCGCGGGAAGGGAGTATTGTCGTCGGGAAGGGAGTAGTATCGTTGGAGAAGTGGTATAGATGCAAATTCACCACTTGAGTGCACCAGATTGACCAGTCAATGCAGGTGCTTGTGCAGCATCTTGACGAGTGGGCTGCAGCAGGCTGCTTAGCAAGGCAACTCTCAAGAAAGAAGGTATGTCAGGGATGTGCTTGATCTTGTAGCTGCTTCACGTGGCTCGGGACCGAAGCTACTTGGAGGCTTTTGGGTAAGTAAAAGTGCGGGGAGAAGTAGCCAAAATCAAGCTATGAGTAGGTCTATGAAAAACTAGGCTACATCTGAATTCACAGGGGTACTAAACCCTAAACCCTAAACTCATGAACTTCCAAGTGCTCAGGCCACAGTCCGCAACTGTCGTTGCAACTTGATCCTCGCTGGTGCACATCCGCCAGCTTGAGCCTCAGCACGTCGAATTACTGTTTAGGGTTTAGGGATAATGGAAACGAGAATGGACACTACTATTTAGGGCTTAGGGAGAATGGAAAAGAAAATGGAAACTACTACGGTATATTGGAGTTCTTCATTATCAGAATGGGGTCTCCATGCGAGGTCGTGCATAGCAATGTTTCGCGCAAGACAATCAGAAAGCAAATACATCCCAATCCGTGGCATGTCGGTCCATGTCACTTACGAGACGTCCGTATGCTAGTCACACTTCAGGCAACAGCAAGAACAGTAGGAATGCCGGCAACTTATATGGTGACGGCAGAATGCACGGCAGGCAACCATGACAATCACAATAGGGATAATGGAAACGACAATGGAACCTACTATAGTTACTGAGGTTATATAAATGTAGGATAATGGGGAAGAAAATGGAAGCTACTACTTCATAATAGGGTATACTGCTTCGGTGACCACAGAAGAAGAAGAACAATCTCAGCAGCCAAAAAGCAGCTGGGAAAGCAGCAAAAAAAGACATCTGTTGCTGGAGGCCGAGATGGACTGCATTCACAATTGCACACGCTCTGAGCCCAGCTGTTTCAATACCTTGCCTTCGGGAGCATATCGGAGGGGCTGAAGGCCGTTCTTCCCAAACCTTAAACCATATAACCTCAAACCCTAAACCTTATACTCCAAACTCTATGCCCTAAACCCTGTATCCTAAACCCTTAACCCTATATAACCCTTGTCTTTGCAACCTCCCCCTTGCAGCCTCGTATTCCTTGGTTTCTGTAAGTCAAGGGCATCTCAACTTAAGCATGGGGGCATTGCACTAAGGTCAACCTTGGGGTCCGTAACCGCAAGAAACTTGGGGGTTTCCGAAAATAATGGGTACCTTTTTGGGGGTCACTATAATAAGGACTATAGTATTTTGGGGTCTATATTGGGGTCCCCCTATTTTGGGAAACTACCACCTTGGTTAGAGGCTTGTCAAGTTAGGGGCTGCCTCGAGTGTGTTGAAGAAGCGCTCGAGTACACCTTCGCACAACGCGACATCCTCAAGGGTTGACTCCTCAACCGTACATCCGTGCGCCCGTTCATGAGTTCATAACCCTCAAGTCCCATCCTCTCGTACGAACCCCCGTCGACTCGAAACCCAACCCCTGCATCCTAAGCCCTGAACCCCTAAAGCCCCAATCCTAAGCACTGAACCCTAAACCCTGAATTTGCCGAACTGGCCCTTGACACTCGCTGCGAGGTTCAAAGAGGGGTTGAGAAAAAACACTGGACCCTAATCCCTAAACCCCAAACCCTGAACCCTAATCCCCAAACCCTGACCCCCCTAAACCCCCTAAGCTCTAAACCCTGAACCCACAAGAAGGCCTGCAGTTCCGGCTTCAGCATGGAGGGTCGGCTGCCAGATTTCACTTGTTTCGGGTTTAGGGTCTAGGGTTTACGGTCTAGGGTTTTGGGTTTGAGGTTCAGGGGGTTAGGGTCTAGAGCTTAGAAGCGTGGCCTACCCCAAACTATTGGTAAGAAGGAGTTGCATGTGGCCCGAGTTTTTGAAGACAATACTGATTATACAGTCAACGTACTCTATGCAGGCTTTGATGTTGAGGTTCTATATTACTTCGAGGGGAGCGTATTCTGAAGAGCTTGGGGGATTAGTTTACGGATTTCGCTTTCAGGAGCTTTGGGTTTTTTGGTTCAGGGTTTGGGGTTCCTCTGAATATGGGATGCCCTTATGAGTTTCGAGCATGCGGGACCCGTGGCGGTGATCTTTTTGGGGACGCCTTTCGAGGCGTTTAGGGTTGCTGGGCCCCTGCCTTGATCTCGCAAATGTTCCCAATGGAAAAGCTTTAAGGCCACATAGTGCTTTGATTTAAGTAGATGTTTTCATCATAAGAGGATGGTACTGTTTTTTAATGCACCGGCTTCCTATCATATTCTGCAATCTTTAGGAGCGACCCCTATAATCTATTTGCTGGTGGTTAGCAGAGAAGAATAGGCGGAATATACTCCCTATATCACCATTATCACCCCTGTATAACATATTCGCTTGTTCCCTCCTAACCACCAGTAATTCTAAGATAGCAAACTGAGAATACAGCTGGCATTCGTCTAGTCATGTCATGATGGTCGGCTCAGCCATGGAGGAGCCCCACACCTCAACTGAAGCCCTAATGTAGACCCTGATTAGCAAACCCCCCTCCTTTTAAGGGCCTTGATATTAGGAACCCTATTAATATCCCTAAACCCTGAACCCTAAACCTAATGGGAGGGGGTTTATTAATCAGGGGCCTAAATTAGACCTTTGCTTCTGCTTGGCCAGGCTCCGTGCTGATGTTGAGGATGGCCCTCTTGCCTTCCCTCATGAGCATGAGCACGAAGAGCTCTGACCGCGCGCTACGCGCAGGATACAAGTGGATGAGCCAAGTCAATGTGGGTCTGTGTGAAGAAAGAGTTTCCTTTTCTGGGTCCTTGCCAGATATTTTTGTTTGCACCGTCTTGGAAATGGAACCGCAATTTCGAGACTTCGCCATTCATTTGTTTTCATGTATGAAATTAGTCCCCAAACCCCAAACCCTGGGTTGTGTGGAAGGGACGTTGCAGACTGGAGCTGTAAATGCCACGCCTATGCTTCGATCCTCCATGCAGTTATGCAGACTCAAAAGGTTCGTGGGGCTTTAAAAAACTCAACCCTACAGTCAGCGTCAGCAGCTCACTTCAAGTGTCCTTGCTCCTCAGTTGAGGCGTGGTTGTCTGGGAGAGTAGATAAGGGATTTTGGGATGTTATAGTTTAGGCCTTAGGGTTTAGGGTTCAGAATGCAGTAGTTTCCCAAAATTTTGGAACCTCGATATAGGCCCCAAAATACGATGGTCCTCATTATGTGGACCCTTGATAAAGAACCACTGCTTTTGAGAAACCCTAAGCCCTAAACCCTATAAAACCCCTAGAATCCTAGAACCCCCCCTTTTAAGGTGCCTCGCACTTAGGAACCATATATATCTTGGGAACATACATAAGATTCTGCATTCATCAAGTCCATGGCTCAGGCCCGGCATGCCAACGCGTGCCTAATTCGATTTGACCAGCTGCGCGTTGCAATAGGATTGCTGATGGGCAAAATCCTGCCTGACCCTGACTAGACTATACTTCCCGAGCTTTCTTCACCGTATTAAATTTAAATTCAACTGGATTTCCCTAAACCTTGCCCTAAACCCTGCACCCTAAGGCCTGGAATCTAAACCCTAAATTCTGAACCCTAAACAAAACCCTAAACCCTAAGCTGGGTTTGGTCCATCAACAGCATGACGCAAGCGCATCGGATAGTATGGAGCCACAGGCCAGCGCTACTCCGGGCCCCTGCTGCTGGCACAGCCTAGGGTTATACGAGCCATTGTCTAAACTCCTTAA